ACCGTGGGGTTGAGGGGATGGAAATTTCATCTGTGTTGTATGTTTACATGTAGCACATTTGACAATAAAGTTGAGTTGAGTTGAAGGAGACAGAAGCAGACATAGAAAAAGAAGCATAGATACAAAAGGCGACTGTCAACCAGATCCACAGGCGGTCCTGTACAGGAAACACACAGCCAGGCAGATGAGCTCCGAGCCAGCTCCCATGTCAGAGGATGAAGAGAGCACATCCAGTTAGTCACAGTCAGAGAAACAGGACTACACTGGAAAACAGGCCGATCAACATAAATAAACAAAGGTGTTGATGCAATTAATAACCCAGTCGTAGTTGATTGATTTTGAATACAGCATGCTCGCTGCACGCCTGCATGCTCGCTGCACGCCTGCATGCTCACTGCACGCCTGCATGCTCGCTGCACGCCTGCAGGCTTGCTGCACTGGCTGCATGCTCGCTGCACGCCTGCAGGCTTGCTGCACTGCCTGAATGCTCGCTGCACTGGCTGCATGCTTGCTGCACTGCCTGAATGCTCGCTGCACGGCCTAAATGCTCGCTGCACTACCTGAATGCTCGCTGCACAGCCTGCATGCTCGCTGCATGCCATTATGCTCCCTTTGTGCCTGGACGGTTTCTGTTGGTTTATGCAGGTGTTTCTTCTTCTTGAATGTCTGTCTCCCAGGTGCTGTAGATAGTTTATCACCACATTAACTTGATGTGGTGTATGAACTCAAAAAGCTTTTATTGAAGATAAAATCTCTCTATGTGATTTTGAGACAGAGCTGCTGTTCCAGTTTGACGCATAGCGGCGTGTACCATGAGCTATCAGCTAAGTGGCTGATTGTGAATGCTGGAAAATCAGACCACCCTCTAATATCAGGAGAGAGAACTCCAGCTGTCCCGATGAAAGCAATCATTTGCTTTATCGGCACCTATCAGAAAATTTATAGATTAGTGCTGCAACTAACAATTATACAAATTGATTAAACCGTTGATTAATTTATATATATATATATATATATATATATATATATATATATATATATATATATATATATATATATATATATATATAAAAAACTACTGTTTTCTCACCCCTCGTGGGGTGGTATGTGTCATCCTCAAGCTCGGGTCCTCTACCAGAGGCCTGGGAGTTTGAGGGTTCTGCGCAGTATCTTAGCTGTTCCTAGGACTGCGCTCTTCTGGACAGAGACCTCTGATGTTTTACCTGGAATCTGCTCTAGCCACTCTCCCAGTTTGGGGGTCACAGCCCCCAGTGCTCCAATTACCACTGGCACCACTGCTGCTCTTACTTTCCACATCTTTTCTAGCTCCTCCTTCAGCCCTTGGTATTTCTCAAGCTTCTCGTGTTCTTTCTTCTTGATGTTGCTGTCGCTTGGGATTGCCACATCTATCACTACTGCCTTCTTCTGCTGTTTGTCGATCAACACGATGTCTGGTTGGTTAGCCATCACCCGTTTGTCAGTCTGGATCTTGAAGTCCCATAGGATCTTAGCTCGGTCATTCTCAACTACCTTAGGAGGTGTCTTCCATTTTGACCTTGGGACTTCCAGCCCATACTCATGGCAGATGTTCCTGTACACTATGACAGCTACCTGGTTGTGGCGTTCCATGTATGCACTTCCTGCCTGCATTTTACACCCCGCTGTTATGTGCTGTATTGTTTCAGAGGCATCTTTGCACAGTCTGCATCGGGGGTCCTGCCTGGTGTGGTAGACCCTGGCCTCTATTGATCTTGTACTGAGTGCCTGTTCTTGTGCTGCTATGATTAGTGCCTCTGTGCTGTCCTTCAGTCCAGCCTTTTCCAGCCACTGGTAGGATTTTTTGATATCAGCCACTTCTTCTATTTGTCTGTGGTATACGCCGTGCAGCGGCTTGTCCCTCTATGATGGTTCTCCTTCCTCTTTCTTGTCCTCACTTTCGGTTTTCTCCTGCCTGAGGTACTCACCGAGCCATTTGTCTTTGGGGGCCTGGACAGTGGTCTTGACACTCACTAGCCCTCGGCCTCCCTCGCTACGTTTGGTGTACAGTCTCAGAGTGCTGGATTTGGGGTGGAACCCTCCATGCATTGTGAGGAGCTTTCTCGTCTTGATGTCAGTAGCCTCTATCTCCTCCTTTGGCCAGTTTATTATACCAGCGGGGTATCTGATGACTGGTAGGGCATATGTGTTGATCGCTTGGATCTTGTTTTTCCCATTCAGCTGACTTTTCAGGACCTGCCTTACTCTTTGTAGGTATTTAGCTGTGGCAGTCTTTCTTGCTATCTCCTCATGGTTTCCGTTAGCCTGTGGCACCCCAAGGTATTTGTAGCTGTCCTGAACATCTGTTATGTGGCCTTCTGGTAGTTCAACCCCCTCGGTTCTGATCATCTTCCCTCTCTTTGAGACCATTTGAGACCGACCGCACTTGTCCAGTCCGAATGACATCACAATGTCGCTGCTGTAGATCCTGGTAGTGTGGATCAGTGAGTCGATGTCTCGCTCACTCCTGGCATACAGCTTGATGTCATCCATGTAGAGGAGGTGACTGATGATTGTTCCGCTTCGGAATTGGTATCCGTAGCCAGTCTTTGTGATGATCTGGCTGAGGGGGTTCAGGCCTATGCAGAACAGCAGCGGGGATAGTGCATCGCCCTGGTATATGCCGCACTTGATGGTGACTTGTGCTATTGGCTTTGCATTGGCTTCCAGACTTGTTTTCCACAGCTTCATTGAGTTCTTGATGAAGGCTATTAGAGTCCTGTTGATCTTGTACATTTCCAGGCATTCCAGTATCCATGTATGTGGCAATGAGTCATAGGCTTTCTTATAGTCAATCCAGGCAGTGCACAGATTTGTCTGCCTGGTCTTACAGTCTCGGGTGACTGCTCTATCCACTAGTAGCTTGTGTTTGGCTCCTCTGGTGTTGCTGCCTATTCCCTTCTGGGAAGGGTGCATGTATTGAGCCATGTGCCTATTCATCTTAGCCGCTATGATGGCTGACAGGAGCTTCCATGTTGTACATAGGCAAGTTATTGGCCGGTAGTTGGATGGGGTTGTTCCCTTCTGCGGATCCTTCATGATCAGGATTGTCTGTCCTTGGGTTAACCATTCTGGGTGGGTCCCATCCATCAGCAGTTGGTTCATTTGTGCTGTGAGGCGTGCATGAAGTGCGGTTAGTTTTTTCAGCCAGTAGGTGTGGATCATGTCAGGGCCTGGTGCTGTCCAGCTCTTCATACCTGCCGCTCTTTCTTGGACATCTGCCGTTGTAACGGTTGCTGGTTCTTGTTCTGGGAGATTGCTGTGATCTGTTCTTAGATCTTCCAGCCACTGAGCATTGGTGTTGTGGGATGCCTCCTTCTCCCATATGTTTCTCCAGTACTGTTCAGTCTCAGCCCTGGGTGGATCTGATCTTGAATTACCCTGCCACTGTGAGTACACTTTGGATGGGTTGGTGGAGAACACCTGGTTTATTCTCCTGGCTTCTGCTTCTCCCTTGTATCTCTTTAGGCGGGTGGCCAGGGCGGCGAGTCTTTGTTTGGCAGTTTCTAGAGCCTCAGGAATCGACAGCTTGTTGTACTTAGGTAACCTCTTCCCTACACCTTTCTGCAGGTCTGAGAGCTGACTAACCTCTCTTCGTGTTGCCTTGATCTTGGCTTCCAGCCTTCTTCTCCATGGGGGCTCTGCTTTGTGGCCTGTGGTGTTTATCTTATAGCCAAGCATCTCTAGGATCACTGTAGCTGTGGCGTAGGTCAGCTCATTGGTCTCAGTTATATCTTTAGTAGGGATAGTATGTAGTGCTGCATTTACATCTTCTAGAAGACTTTCAGAGGGTACTCTGTCACTTAGCCTTGGCAGTCTTGGTCGTCGTACTAGGGGATCCGGTTTCGTTATGATCTGCTGTCGCAGGTCAGCTGCCCTTACGTTTAGTGGCCTTGTTGTTGGGGCTGGGGACCCAGTCTCTTTGTGTTGGGTTGATGATATTTCCCTACTGACCTGTTGTCCTGACTCCCCCTTGCTGCAGCATGTCAGTTGTACCTCGTCAATTTCTAGTTGTGATAGGAGCTGCCGTTTGCGGATGTTAGAACACTGAGTTATATATATATATATATATATATATATATATATATATATATATATATATATATATATATATATATATATATATATATATATATATATATATATGTAGCGAGTTAGTTTCTTGCCTTTGTCAAAAAAGTTCAGGCTCAGGATTACTTTTGCTTTAATCCCTGCAGGGAACTGATGGTTCTGCTGGAGGTTTGTTCCTGTTAAAAGGGAGTTTTTCCTCTCCACTATTGTTACAAGCATGCTTAGTGTGAGGGATTGCCTTCGAGTCAATGAGTCGATGCAATCAACTGGTTTTCCTTAGATAGAAAATTTAATCAATTTGACTGTATGATCTAGTGAATGGCCTTCAGATGACATGTGTTGTGAATTGCCGCTATAGAAATAAACTGAATACAATTGGTGCTTCTCCACCATATTTTAGTACAAAGATTGATGTATAAAAATTAACTGTAGAGGACCAGCCAAGGGCCCATCAAGGAAAGTGGGGAAATTTTGAATGCCTACTACTGTAGTGAGAACATCCGCTCATTTGCTACACCCGGTTGTCCTCTAGAAAGCCCCCCAGAGAGTTCTGGGTCTCTTCTGGTTTCTCCTCCCTCTTGGACTAAAATCTACGGAGTTTAAAGAAGTTGTTCTTCTTCTGAAGCCACACTGTGCTTTAATCCATGTTTTCATCGGCACTGAAAAAATAGTTTTCCACATAATTCAGATTTTTATTCGTAAACAGTGGTTAAAACTTGGCCCATTGCTTAATTAACTAGAAACCCAAACACACACAGACCTTTACATTTTGTCAAAGAGTGATCAAATCTAAAGACTATTAATACTGTTTCCAGCTGCTCAGTTAGACAACAAACACAGTGAAACCAGCAAATGATCCAACCACTACATGTACTGCTTTGTTTTTGATGTAGAACCTGTACCAGAACCGGCTCTTGAGCCTGTCTGCCATGGCCTCCCCTACCCGCAGTGGCCAGTCCCGCCAGCGCTGCAAGGGGGCGGCGCGTCACAGCTGCGGTCCAGACACCTACGCGGTCAACGGTCTAAACCAGGAGGCCTTCGTGGTGGGACTGCAGCGCTCCACCAGTGACACCGACCTGGTCTCTCCTGACGCCCGCTCCACGCTAACCGTTAGCTCTGCCCACTACACCATCGGCCAGTCTGAAGATTTGGTGGTCACATGGGACATCAAGGAGGAAGTGGACGCAGGAGACTGGATTGGAATGTATCTACTGGGTAAGTTGGACACATCTGAATGCATTTACAAATATCTATCATGTTAGGACTCTAATCTTATCTCTTATTCTAGACGAGACTCTTTCTGAGAACTTTCTTGATTACAAAAACCGAGGCATCAGTGGATCTCAGAAGGGACAAATAGTCTGGAAGATCGACTCCAACTCCAACTTTAGAAGCTGTGAGTATCTGAAAAACAGAAAAGACCAGCAGAGAAATATTTAACTTGTTATCTGAAAACATTAGATGGCAGGTATCTAATAAGGGTTCAGGGACCTTAATGCGTTCAATTAGTCCAAACCTTTCGGTCTATGTATGGTAAAATAGTAAATGGCCTCTACTAATATAGTGATTTCTATTACATTCAGTGGCCACCTGCATTGTAGCCACAGCTGCCCTGGGGCACACTGACAGAAGCCAGGCTACCGTACGTTGGCACCAACAGTCGCCCTTACTTAAAGATAAAAAGTCAAGTTAAATAGTTAATAAGCCTAGTTAACAATTATATTTAGGTTTATAAACTAAAAAATGTAAGTGCCAATATCAGCATTAGTGCCTCTAAGGTTATGTTGGACCAACAAATAAATATGTTTCTTTCACTCTCAGAGAGTTTTCATGAGTTCGTAGAGAAGCCCTTTTGCCTTAATATATTCGTGCAGGTTGGCAATTGTTGTTATTACTTAGACATTAAATTTGCCATAAAAATATCCATATTTTGTTATGTTATAAAGGTAATAAGGTCTTGTCCTGGATTCCACTAACACAATAAGATTGAAATGTTGATTTTCAAAGTATTTCACTGAGTGACCTATTAAAGGTGAGGCATGGAGCTTTACTGCGCCCTTAATCGGTCCTCCAACAGATCTGACCTGTCCCATCTTTACACAGTGTGTAAACGAGTAATGAAATGTTATTACTCACTTTTATGGCATTGCAGTAGTGTAAACATTGCATTTTGTCATGTATGATTTTGTTTTTATCATACTAGAAGCAATCCCTATAAGGTTATGATGGAACATTTTAGAAATGTTTTCAGACTTGTCACACACAGGAACCTTTGTCACATACTGTGACATGTAGGTACAGAAAATATTGACAAGAGATCACTTCTGACTTATGTCTTTTTTCCCCAGCTGAGACTCAGGTCTGCTTCAGGTACTACCATGGTGTCAGTGGAGCTCTGAGGGCCAATACACCCAGTGTCACCATCAAGAAGGGTTGCCCAGCTGTGAGTCTTAGTTCACTTCATTTCACTTAATGATCCCCTAACATGTCCTCTGGCAAGAGTGTTGTGCATGAACCAATTCAATAAACAGTGTTCCCCGAATCAGTTCATATTTTTAGTGAACCATGAACTGAATGGAACAGTTTTGAACTAATGAACGTGAGCAAGAGTGGCGTTCACTCTTAGAAAAATGAGCGACACACACAGCTCACGTTGGCATTCAATTGATAAGGATACTTATCAATTGAACAAACAGCATGACAGACCAGCATGTCTACTGCTAGCACTCGTCTGTGTGATTCAGGACGTTTCTCAATCTGTGTATCTGTGCGTTCTCATTTGCTCGTGAACCGTCATCAGCCTCAGCCCTACCACTGTTTCAATTCACAAGAACACAAGACAGAGAACGGACAAAGTCCCCTGATGTTGTTCTCACACCTCTCTCTTTACCCAGCATGCATCAGAGCAGACTTGAGACAGACAGTGTGAGTGGCCATCTGCTGAGGCCAACTGTGTTCCAAGGAGACAGAAGCAGAGGATGAAGAGAGCACATCCAGTTAGTCACAGTCAGAGAAACAGGACTACATTGGAAAATAAGCTGATCTCCAACATCTATAAACAACGGTGTTGATGGCAGCAGCACAGCAAATATTTCTCTCCAGGATGGAGTCACAGCATAACAGGAACAGACCAGATGAAGCTACTATGAGAGAAAGCAGAGAGAGCAGAACGTTAGAGATTGAACTAACAGATTCTGCAGAGTAGGAGAATAGAGATAGAATGAATCAGAATGATGAAAAAGGGATCCCTATGTCCTCCAGCAGTCTAAGCCTATAGCAGCAGAACTATAGAGATAGCTCAGGGTAAGCTGAGCCACTCTAACTATAAGCTTTATCATTAAAGGAATGTTTTAAGCATACTCTTAAGGCCAGTTTATGCTTCTCTATGAGAATAGAGGTAGAATGAAGCAGAATGATGAAAAAGGGGTCCCTATGTACTCCAGCAGTGTAAGCCTATAGCAGCATAACTAGTTGTTAAAGTTACATGGTGTACCTTTAACTTGATGTGTCTCCTAAAATTTGAAGTGGACGTGGCTGATATACGGACTTCTTTATTAAGTTCCACTTGGGAGAGTTTGCACAAAAACATGACTTTCTTTTCTGTCCGATTCTTTCTTTGCTAGTTGATCAAACTCTGCCAAGTGCTGTGCAGAACCTGCATCACAAATACCAGCAGATGAGTCTGAATCGCTCAGACTAGTACTAGCAGCAGACATGCTGCTCTGTCAGACTGTTTGCCGTTATAAGAACCGTCAATGCTGAAGTTATTTAATGTAAAGTGTTGTTATGGATTAAAAAACACAAACGTGAGCTGTGTGTGTGTGTGTGTGTGTGTTGCTCATTCTTCTCAGAGTCGCTCTCGTACATGTTCATTACTTCAAATCTGATCCAACCAATTCACAGTTTATTAAAACTATAAACAAATTCAGTGAACTCCGTTCATTGAATGCATTCATGCACAACTCTGGTGGGGTGGGGTTGGGGTGTGGGGGCTGGGGTTTGTACAGTATGGTTTTCTGTACTGAACCCTAAGATTTTATCCGTCATAATATTTTTTTGTATTCATTAAAATCACTTTTATTCACTGAGGTTGTTCTTAAACAGCAACTTTCACAATTTTATTCTTGAATCTTACCAAAGTGTTTTTAAACATTAATACAACAGTAATATACACAAATACCTGTAATAACTGTGTATTTCAGGATTTTTATTCCAAATAATTTCACTAAAAGGGGATAAAGAGCAACTGGTTGATTTGAGTTATTTTTACAGTAAACTATTGTTGTCCTGTTGTCCTTTGGAAGCATTGGAGTCATTGAGGGGATGTTTAGCTGCTGATTGAATTTCCATGGTGGCCCCTTGCATTGTGCTGCCGTGGGCCTATGGAAAATGCTGATGGGACCAGAACCTGATCTGCACTTTCTTCCCGGGTATGGAGGAATATAAATAACCCTGGCGAGAGGATGCAGGAATATACAGGGCGCGAGCAAGCACAGAACGCAGCACTCAGTCCCTCCAATGTAAGCTTTTGGAGGCCAGGGGTGGACAGTGATGTCTGGTCCTCAGCAGAGGAGGAGCAGAGCTACAGCCACAGAAGGACCAGTGCTCTTTGAGTGGGTGTGATGGATAGCATGTGTCTCCAGCTAGGACTGCTATTTCCCAGTCAGCCTGGGAGGAGGAGAGGCCGGAGGACGAGGCTCAGCGGGATAACACGGGTAAAGCTTCACAGTGTGTTCCCCACGTCTTCTCAGTTATATCCTGAATGTTCCTGCAGCGGCTTTAGGGATGCTCTACCTTAGAGCTGACTCTGCTTAGAGGGACGGACTCTTTGCGGCTCATGTGCTCCTGCTTTAATCTGGTCTTAGGTTGCAGGGTGTCTAATGCAGAACGACTAGCCTTAGTGAGGATGAGGTGTCCTTCATCAAAAAACTTCCAATAGTTTGGATGGAACTGGGCCTGCGGTTAGCTTCTATTATGCCCTGCCTGGGGGAAGGCAGGGCATTTTATTTGATGTTGAATCTGCTTATCTCAACCATTTGTGACAATTCATTAGTTCTCTTCAATTTTCCAATTAGTAAAAAATTAATTTTGAATCTCTTTTTTTTCTAAAGGTCCTCATGCAGTTATTGTGTGTTTGCAACTTAGAGACTACTTTGGAGATCAGACTCTTCTGTTTCTGTTTTAATCAGTGACATCAGGTCGAGAGGGTCTGCCGATCTGATGTTATTCTAGAGGCTGAATTGAGCCATTCATTAAGTCAGCGGTTACCAAATTTTTGTTGCTTTGCATCTCTTTAGTTTACAAGTTTTCCTGCTATTGTAGTACCTGTCCCCCCTCCTACAAACTTTAACCGTTTACGAAGAAAACCCAACTGCAACTAATTATATATAATAAAATAGAATTAGGACTGAAACAATTAATGGGATTAATTGATTGTTGAAATATCAACTAATTTATTAACTGCATACTGGATAACTGGAATACATAGTAGGGGTGAGTATTGGCACAGGTTTTGCGATATGATACACGTCGCTATACTTGGGTCACAACACGATATCAAAATATTGCCATATCACTATATATTGTGATATTTTTTCTAGCTATCAAAAATGTATTCATAGATAAGAAAGCTAATGCTGCATATGTTTATAAGAGGATATTGATCATTTTGGTATCCATGTTGTTTGGGTTTGAGTCAGTCCACACCTTCCACTGTGACTGCCTAAAGTACAAATATGGTGCCGCGCCGCACAGCAAAAATGGCTCCACAGTGCTATCTGCCAGAGTGACGGTTGCAGGAAGTGCCCATTTCCCCTCTATGTTAGGTTGAAATTAGTGTTGCGCCGAATTTTTGGCCCCGATACCAATACCCGATACCCAGCTGTTCAGGATTGGCCGATACCGATACCATACCGATACCATCTGTTTGAAATTGACGTGTGTGTGTATATATGAAGAACTGCCTACTAATTGTGTGTAAAACAATTGCCATCATGGCTTTGTGAAGCTGCTGCCTACCTTTGTGTAGCAGGAAAAAAGAACTGAACGATCAATATTATACTGGGCAGCCAAAAATCACAATATATCGCCAAATCGATTTTCTCCTCATACCCCTCTAAAATATTCTAAGATACTCTAAAACATGGCTTTAGGAGACAGAGCGACCCACTTAGAGCAGTAGCTATACCAATATTATTAGAAATATATAAACATTTTACACTTAAGATAAAACCTTTTTGTTTGTCAATCTGCTCTATCAAGAATTCCTCAAGTTGAAAAGTTTTAGCTTCGCCTGGTTTAATTTAATAAAAATCTTTAAGGAACCTTTGGCAATCGATTATGAATGGAATAGTCCAAAATATAATCGACAGATTAATTAATTACCAAAATATTAGTTGCAGCCCTAAGTAGGATATAATCTCCTTTAAATAAATAAAAATTTAATAAAAGAATAGAACCACTGTAATGCAATTATATTATTTTAAACAATTTAAACAGCGATTCTGGTCCAAAATCTGGCTTCTCTATAGGGGGAAGCAGTGTAGTACCAACACTATTTATGGTGGGGGTGTTGTGCTGCTGACCTCGACTCGGGATGTCTTGTGTCAGTGGACGGAGTACTTTGCAGTCCTCCTTAATCCCTCCAACACGTCCTCCATTGAGGAAGCAGAACCTTGGGGCTTTGGGATCTCCCATCTCTGGTCCTCCTTGGTAGCAGGGCCCCAGGGTGAAGGAGATTCACCCTCAGTAATTTAAGGCTCTGGATGTTGTGGGGCTGTGTTGGTTAATGCGACTGTGCAACATTGCATGGACATTGGGGGCAGTTCCCCTGGAATGGCAGGCTGGGGTGGTGGTTCACCTATTTAAAAAGGGGGACTGGAGGTTGTGTTCCAACTACAGAGGAATCACGCCTTAAGGCCTCCCTGATAAGGTCAATTCTGGAAAGGAGGGTCTGTCGCATCTCAGATTCAGGAGGAGCAGTGTGGTTATTGTCCTGGCCGTGGAACATTGGATAAGCTCTACACCTTAAGCAGGATCCTGGAAGGTGTATGGGAGTTTGCCCAACCAGTCTATATGTGTTTTGTGGATTGAAGAAGGCATTTGACCATGTCTGCAGGGGGTCCTTTGGGGGGTACTACAGGAGTATAGAGTACTGGGCCCTTAATGCTATTAGGTCTCTGTACGACCGGTGTCAGAGCCTGGTCCACATTCCCGGCAGTTAGTTGGACTTCTTTCCACTGAGCGTTCGACTCCGGCAAGGTTGACCTTTGTGACCGATTCTGTTCATAACAGTATTTCTAGGCGGTGGAAGGGAGTTGTGGAGGGGATCTGAACTACAGCTGAGTGTGAAAGGCCGTGATGAGCTTCGGCTGGGATGAGCTTCCAAGTCAGAGACCATGGTCTTGAGCCAGGAAAAAGGGGGAGTTGAGGACAACATCATCT